AAAAAAAAAAAAAAAAAAACAATCCCAAAAAATCCGAAAAAAACCTATGTTATGCAGAAAAATAAACAGAACAACTTTTGCCTCAGGGTCATATCGAAATTCCTTACCAATTTAACAAGAAAAATAAAAATTGAAAAATAAAATTTTATTTTTATTTATTTTAATCCTTTTTGGCCCGGCCGGGCAAGTGGTCCTGGGCCACTCTGGTAGCCTAGCTTTTAAGTCCTTTTTTTTTTTTTTTTTCCTTTTTTTCCTTTTTTTCTAGTTATTTCCTTTTTTTTTTTCTTTTTTTTCCCGAGTTTTGCTCTCTTGCCATTATGACGTGCATGGGTAGTTACACTGCAACCCTCGTACCGCGGGAGGGCCCTCGCTCCACTCTAATAAAACATTCTGTTGTATGTATCTGGATCTGCACATGGTCCAAATACATTCAAAATGTTCGATCAGTCCCAATGAATCGGGTCCACATTGCAGTCCATATACGTGTCTCGAGTGCTGAGTGGAACTGGACCCAAAGTGTTAGTGAAATGCCATTCCGACATGAAGATAGGGTAAAAAAAACAGAAAAAGGGTCATCACATATGACAAAAAGTGGCCTCATCGGCGCAGTTGACGTCACAATAAGATAAGATACGTTACAACAATAAGATCGACATTCGTTATTAAAATTTAATAAATACTAATAATAATAATAATAATAATAATTTAAAGAAAAAAAATACTAATAAGTAAATAACAGATCGACATTTTTGCGCATGTACTTGTCCACATTCATCACGACATCGGGATATCTACGTGGCAAGTCAAAACAATATGTCGTTGACGTCATCAAAAAAGATGGATGTATATACATACACAGGTATATCCCAAAAAAGTAACAAAGACATAGTATTACCAAACAGGAGCCTTCGGGGAAAGTTCACAGAAGTTTCAGACGAAGTTGCTTTATTTTTCTCACAAGAAAGTTCGGTGGGCAGCGGCCATCATCGCAGCACGACTTACCAAATGTGGAAAGGACTAAAATTACGACTTGCCAAATGTAGAAATAATAAAAATAAAAATTATACGTGGGTGTGTACCTTGCCGTGTTATAGGGTCAGATACGTTTTCAATATTTTTTTATTTATTTGGAGGGCAGCGCGACGAGGCCCGAGTTCCCGACGGAACGGTGGAGAGCTCAAGAGACGAACACAGAGTAGAACATCATTTTTTTCTTTTTTCTTTTTTTTATTTTTAACAATCTTCTTTTTCTGTTTTTTTTAATTCTTCTTTTTTTTGTCATGGCGTACTCATACCTTCCCCAAATGTGGAAAGGACAAAAATTACGATTGCCAAAAGTGGAAAGGACAAAAATTACGACTTGCCAAATATGGAAAGGACAAACACTATGTGTGGGTGAAACTTGCCGCGTTGTAGGGGGCAGATACATTTTCTGTTTTTTTTTTTTTTTTTGGTTTTTCTAATACAGTTTTTCCCATGAGAGTTTTTTTTTCAGCATCAACTTTTTTTTTTTTTTTAATAAGTAATTCATTTTTTCGGTCAAGAACCCCCCATCATCACCTTTATTGCAATATCTCAAGCGACAACTGTGTTTTTTTGCGTGCGAACAAACACATACATAGCTACGATTTTTTTTTTTGCGCTGGAACGGTGGGAACAAATTTTTTTTTTGCGCGGGAACGATTTTTTTTTTTTGCCCAGGAACGAATTTTTTTTTTTGCATGCGACCGGACACATACATAGCTACATTTGTTTTTTGCTTGAGAACGAACACATACATAACGATTTTTTTTTTGCGCGCGGGAACGGACACATACATAATGACAATTATTTCTTTTGCGCGAGAAGGGACAAATACATAACCATAACGACTATTTTATTAATTCATAATTTTCAGATTTTTTTTTTTTTTTTTAAATGAGCGCAAAGAAACTTGCACACCAAGGGGAGCGGAATATCCAAAAAGATAAAAAATAAAGTAGAAGCTAAAAACACACGTACATTTGAGGAATATAATTATTACTAAATTACAGTAATAGCACAATATACTAAATATAGTAATATTGTACCTATCACTGACCTCTAAAATTCATGACCGATAAGACGCTGTGTGTATCTGTGTAGTAGAGCAAACCACAATAAGAGTGACACAAAAAACGAACAAACCAACAATTCAACGTAAAAAAAAAAAAAAAAAAAAAAA